ACCAAGAATTACTATCAGTAAGGATTATACAAATCACCCGATTAATATCAGTTTTATATCAGATCTAAAACAAAGTTTTACCTTGTCATTTGTGTAGAGACCAGATGAACGTTCAGAGGTTAAGCTTCTCATTCACTGCAACCACAGGTTTTGATTAAACTGCACCCTTTTTCAAACAAACAGCATGCCATCATAAATAAGTTGCATGTCGACATAGATATGTCGCATGTTTACATAGATAAGTTGCATGTCAACATATTCATCTTGCATGTCAACATAAATAAGTTGCATGTCAACATAAATAAGTTGCATGTTAACATAAATAAGATGCATGTCAACATATTTATCTCGCATGTCAACATAACTAAGTTGCATGTCAACATAACTAAATTGCATGTCAACATATTTATCTTGCATGTTAACATAACTAAGTTGCATGTCAACATAAATAAGTTGCATGTTAACATAAATGAGTTGCATGTCGACATATTTATCTTGCATGTCAACATAACTAAGTTGCATGTCAGCATAAATAAGTTGCATGTCAACATATTTATCTTGCATGTTAACATAAATAAGTAGCATCTAGCATGTTGGATGTCACAAGTGGGCGATATTTGAGATTTTTAAAAATATTTATTTGATTGCAATTTTCTTGCATGTCAACATATTTATCTTGCATGTTGACATAACTATCTTGCATGTCAACATATCTATCTTGCATGTCGACATATTTGATAGAAAAATAACTTGCACACAAGGGGCAGAAATATGCCACCATAGATAATAGACCTGCACCCATAACTTTTACCTGGTCTATTATCTGAAAAATGTATGTCGAATTCAACATCCGAAGCAAGTCCATTAGTGTGCATCATAGAATGTATCGTCTGTGCTAGTTTGCTCATTATATGGCTCATAGTTAATTGGAAATGAATCATGCATCAAAAACTAACATTTTCACTGAACCACAAAAAGTAGGTCAGATTCAGCATCCGAAGCAAGCCCGGTAGTTTACATCCTTAGATGTATCATCCATGCAAGTTTGGTCATTAAAGAACTCATAGTTACTTGGAAATGAATCATGCACCAAAAAACTTTAACCTATTCACTCAACCAGAAAATGTAGATCTGAATCGGCATCCGATTGATTGATTGATTGTATATTGTTTAACGTCCCTCCTGAGAATTTTTCACTCATATGGATACGTCACCATATGCCGATGAAGGGCTTCAAATTTAGACCTATACTCGGCACTTAGGGCCATTGAGCAGTGAGGGTTCTTTATCGCGCCTGCCGTGACACGGGACCTATGTTTTTAAGGTCATATCCGAAAGACCCGTGACCTTCACTTCTGATGCCGAGCGCTTGGCGAAGAAACAGTCACTACCTATTTTTACGTCTTAGGTTTGACGCGGCGCCGGGAACAAGAATCGAACCCGGGCCTCCCGATCACAAAGCGAACGCTCTACCACTAGGCTCCCGTGAACGGTTTCAGCATCCGAAGCAAGCCCGGTAGCATGCATCCTTAGATATATCATCCATGCAAGTTTGATCATCATAAGGCTTATAGTTACTTAGAAATCAGTCCTGCACCAAAAACTTTAACCTGTTCACTCAACCGGAAAATGTAGGTCAGATTCAGCATCTGAAGCAAGCCCAGTAGTATGCATCCTTAGATGTATCATCCATGCAAGTTTAGTCAACATAGGGCTTATTGTTACTTGGAAATGAGACCTTCACCAAAAACTTTAACCTGTTCACTCAACCGGAAAATGTAGGTCAAATTCAGCATCCGAAGCAAGCCCGGTAGTTTGCATCCTTAGATGTATCATCCATGCAAGTTTGGTCATTAAAGAACTCATAGTTACTTGGAAATGAATCATGCACTAAAAACTTTAACCTGTTCACTCAACCGGAAAATGTAGGTAAAATTCAGCATCTGAAGCAAGCCCGGTAGTATGCATCCTTAGATGTATCATCCATGCACGTTTGGTCAATATAGGGCTTATTGATACTCGTAAATGAGACCTACACCAAAAACTTTAACCTGTTCACTCAACCGGAAAATGTAGGTCAGATTCAGCATCCGCAGCAAGTCCGGTAGCATGCATCCTTAGATGTATCATCCATGCAAGTTTGGTCATTAAAGAACTCATAGTTACTTGGAAATGAATCATGCACCCAAAACTTTATCCTGTTCACTCAACCGGAAAATATAGGTCAGATTCAGCATCCGAAGCAAGCCCGGAAGTATGCATCCTTAGATGTATTATCCATGCAAGTTTGGTCAACATAGGGCTTATAGTTACTTGGAAATGAAACCTGCACCAAAAACTTTTATCTGTTCACTCAACCGGAAAATTTAGGTCAGATTCAGCATCCGAAGCAAGCCTGGTAGTATGCATCCTTAGATGTATCATCCATGCAAATTTGGTCAACATAGGGCTTATAGTTACTTGGAAATGAAACTTACACCAAAAACTGCACCAAAAATGTTAACCTGCTTCAAAACATTAACCTGATCATTCCTTTGCTGAAATTGCAGCATTTGAAACTTTGACTGATACAATGAAACATACTAGAACCATCTTCCATGCATGTTTAATCAATATAGGACACAGAAGTACTTAAAAAGAAAACTGCTCCAAAAAACTTAACCTTAACCTGGGATGCCGACGCCGACGCCAACTTCGTTGAATTGAGCTAAAAAGCAGCTTCCCAAATATATTGTTGCACACAACTCTTGAAGTTTCTTCTTCACTAATATCTTAGTGAGGAGTAAAGAAGGAACTTGGTAGAACATTTAATGGAACCCGGTCTCTATCATATTTGTTTGTAATGATTTTTAATGGAATCCAATATATAGATATGGTAATTCAAATTCATTTTGGTTGTTGTGGTATATTAAAAAAAAATATTCAGAAAACATCGCAGTCTCGAATGATAAATTAAAATCATGCATTCACTATGAAACCTTGCAACCTTGTGAACGTGACTTTTGCGTTTTTTAAATTATGCCCCCGCTAACGAAGTTTCGGGGGTATATAGTTTTTGACGTGTTCGTCCGTCTGTCTGTCTGTCTTGCAATGGCACATCAAAACAAAATAGGCCATGGGATGGCGCGGATGTGATCTGCATGTCACATCTAACATGGATGTGACATGCATGTCACATCTTGTGGCCTTTTTTGTTTTGATGTGCCATCTTTTTGCTAACTTTTTCATGTGATGTTTTGATTGTCTTGTCTTACAGATACATTTTCTAGTTAGTTTTTGGGCATCAGACATTATCATAATTTACGTAACTGCTGATCAAAGCTTGTGAATCTGATCCCCTTCTTGTTTGTTAAATTGTTCACATTTATACCGTCATTTTAATGAATGACTTTATTCATCTCTATGAAAGTGTATTTGACTTATACAAAATTAGCAAAAACAAGCTGCGGTGAGCTTGCCTATGAGCATAAGAATACATAAAACAACATAAAACTAACATCAGGCACGTCTATTTTGAAGCCCCTCCTCCACCCCTGCATTCCTACCCCTTAAAATGGGTATTTATGTGTCATGTAAAATCATACAATTGCTTTGATTTTATTTTTGATCATTTGATCATTTTAAATTTGTTTTTGAAACAAATTTTTTAAAGCAAAATTTTCGGGGCATCCCCATCCTTCGTATTTTTTTCCTTTTTTTCTTAGCATGTTCTCTTACTGTTAATTTACTTTAAAAAAATATTGTTGATGTAGAAGGTTTCCCAGTATTTTTATTCAATCAAAGAGGGATTATGTTTTTACCTTGAACTTTAACCGGTCTTTTAATTCGGAGATTTTTTTGGCTTGTCTACTTACCCCCCCCCCCCTTTTTTTAAACACATTGTAAAATAGACAGTTCACCTAAGGCTGGCTATCGGGGTACATCAGTAAGATTAACTATGGATTAAAATTAAAATGGCTAAATACATTTTAAATTATGGTATATAAGTAGCGCTCATAAGAACGGTAATTACTATATGTGCATAGATCTCTCACTCGCTCTTTCTTTCTTTCTCTCTCTCTCTGAAAAAGAATGTACATGTATATGGAAAATATATTTTAATATTAAGACTTCTTATCATTAATTCAAATTTCAGCAATTGTAAATTGCCCAGAAAACAAATATGCAGCAGCTTTAATATAGTCATGCATAGACATCGTTTTAATCGCTGTTCCTAGCAATGTGCATGTCCAATGTTCCGTATATCAACAAGTTAAATACTTAAACAAAATTATGAATAAATTTACGTACTAAATAGTAAATAATATCAAATACCTATTAAAAATGTCCGCATCAAATTTCAAATTTTTGATACACTTTGAAATTCAATTTTATTTTTGGTTCACAAAATGCAGTCAACAAAATACTTCCGTGTTTACAATAACGCGACTTTGACGTCGTTTTCTGAGCATTGTGACGTCAAAAGATATGGGCCCTTTTCTCATGACGGCAGTCAATATATTTGATTGGTTCTGGTTTTATTTGTTTATATATATATATATATATATATATATATATTTTCTTTTTTTTATGTACATGTATTTTGTTTCACTACTATCCTTGGCCTATTTTGTTTTGATGTGCCAGTTAGCGTGGTCAGCATTGCGGGTTATCACAATACAACTGAATGACTCGCTGAGCTGACCACGTGACCTTACACCTATTACATGTAATCCATCCACCAAGGCGTGGATCTAAGAATTTTCACAATTTACCAAAATTAATCCTACCGGAAACCTTCAACTAAGTTATCGCATTCAATACATAAATACAATTATTATTCTAAAAATTGTTGTTTTTGTTGCTTGAAATGGCACATGTACTTTAGTTTTATATAAAATCAAAGTCATGCGAACTCCATATCTTTTATTCATTTTAACTTAAGAGAAGAATATAAGAAAGAAATAGGAGAAAAAAATTTATAAACAGTCATTAATTAAAAGATAGATTATGATTATGATAGATTAAAGCATATCAAATCCAGTAGATCTTGTATATATTGTTTGTTGACTATGTACAAAAAACTGCAACATTCTTTTCATGACAAAGATCTCTGAACTTAAAGCAAAAATATGCATATGCAGAGGATTTAAGAGATAAAAGATATGTTTCTTGCATTTTGCTGATCTGTTCAGTAGAAGAGCAGTTGTTGTTAAATCTAAATTTGTCATCATCCGTCTTCTTTGTGAGAAACGTTCCTACGACGAAAAACAAAAGAAAAAGATGTGTTAATGAAACACTGATGCCCCCGTATGGCAACATTGTGAAGATTGAACTTTTCTTAGATGCAATGAAAGCCCTATCACCATCTGTTCCCAAGTTATGGCAAGGCTAAACTTTTTTCATAAGTACAGAAATCTTCAAGATCAAGGTTACTGGTATCCAATGAAAGGTCTTTCCTGTCACAAGAATTACATATATGAATTAAAAAAGCCCTAGCCCTTACTCTTCAAAATTATTGCCAAGGTTAATGTTTTTTCATAAGTGCAGAAATCTCCAAGGTCAAAAGGGCAAGGTTATTGGTATCCTATAAATGCTCTTGCTCCAAAGAATATATTTGTGAAGTATAGAAGCTCTAGCCCTAAAGTTATGGCCAAGGTTACGAATTTTTAAAAGTATGTAATATTCTAAGGTCAATGTCACAGGGTCAAAGGTCTTGATATCAAATGAAAGGTCTTGTAACAAGAATCAAATATGCAAAGTATGAAAGCACTAGCTCTTACCCTTTAAAAGATATTATCAAATTTATTTTTTAAAAGTACGTCAAACTCAAAGGCCAAGGTCAAAGGTCAATGCTCTTAGTATCCAATGAAGCATATTCTTACAAGGATTACATATGTGAAGTATGAAAGCTCTAGCCCTTACCGTTCAAAAGTTATTGCCAAGGTTAAAGTTTTTTTTGTTATTACGTAAATCTCCAAGGTCAAGGTCAAAAGGTCAAGGTTGGTGGTATCCAGTAAAAGATCTTGCCACAAAGAATATATATGTAGAGTATAAATGTCCTGGTATTTACTATTCAAAAGTTATGGCCAAAGTAAAAAAAATTGAATTTTTATGCCCCCGTAAACGAAGTTTCGGGGGTATATAGTTTTTGTCGTGTCCGTCCGTCTGTCTGTCTGTCTCTCTGTTTGTCTGTTTGTCCGCAAAAACTTTAACCTTGCCCATAACTTTTGATTTAGTAGAGGTATGACTTTCATATTTCACATGTGTATTCCGTATGACAAGACCTTTCTTTGAGCACCACCAAATTTGATCTTTTGACCTTGGAGTTTGACCCACTTTTACAATTTTAAACTCTTATCTTTTGAACAGTAGATACCAGGACATTTATACTTCACATATGTATTTTTTGTAGAAAGACCTTTCATTGGATATCAACAACCTTGACCCATTGACCTTGTGAAAAACTTTAACCTTGGCCATAACTTTTAAACGGTAAGGGATAGGGCTTTTATACTTCATATATGTTATTCTTGCGAGAAGTCCCTTTATAGAATACCAAGAATATTGACCCCTTGACCGTGACCTTTGAGTTTGACCTACTTTAAAAAAGCAAACCTTGACCATAACTTTTTAAGAGTTCGGGCTAGTGCTTTCATACTTTACATAGTCAATCCTTGTGACAAGACCTTTCATTTGATAACAAGAACGTTGACCCTTTGACCTTGACCTCAGAGTTTGACATACAGACAGACAGAAAGACAGAAGGACACGACAAAAACTATAAACCCCGAAACTTCGTTTACGTGGGCATAAAAACCTAATGAAATCCAAGAGCTACAACTACAAATATATATTTATTATATTGCAATTCTTTAAAGTTACAAATACAATTTCTCATGTCGAGGGTTTCTGATCCACACTAATCTACGTAACCCATAACTGAATAGACTTACTTTAACGGGATTTTAGCATTATCCATTGAGTTTTCACATTTTGAACTCTATTGACCTCTGACAGTGAGCAACCAGGGAAAGCGGGAAAGCAAATTAAGGGGTATCGACCCTCTGATAAGAGAGATAACTTTCTAAGTACAAAAAAGGAATAATACTCATAGTTGTCTTTATCAGAGTTTCCTTACTGAGACCTCTGAGCAGTTAAACATATGATGGGAACATTACTTTTTATTTCCTTTGATTACACTTATCAAATGTTTATTATATTTGTAAGACTCCTAATTCCGATGGTCTCGCCAAACCCCGATGGTTTGTTGTCGGTACGGACGCCAATGTCTGATGGTCACGCCAAAGTCCGAAAGCTCGTTTCCTATAAGACGAGCTGTGCTAAAGTGCGATTGTCTTACAAGCCAATGTCCGTATATGACGTCACAATAATTCGACGTCAATCACTGACGCCGTTGTCCTGCATTCAAATGCCATCATTTCTGAATACGTCCTCGCATTCAATTTGATTGATATTTCTTGCACCTTTCAGAGATATTAGGATTAGTTGTCGCACACCAATCGACTGATTAAGTTAAGTCCTTGCTTTGCACCAATTCGAGAGATATAGGGTTAGTCCTCGTACACTAGTCTAGAAATTAGGGTTAGTCTCGCATCCACTCAAGATATCTAGGTTATAATTGTTACACACTATTCGAACGATCAGGGTTAGCTTCGCACCTATCTGAGAGATTTAAGGGGTATTTTTCGCATAATGATATCAATTTATACTTATTAATTTTAGGACCTTGGCTTGGCGCGGCATTGAGGCTTGGCACAGTAGTACGATGACGTGAATTGTTAATTAGTAGGGCGTGACTTTTTCAACAATTAAGAAATAAGGTATCATTTTTTGAGTTTTATTGGGATGTAAAACGGGTTGGTCACGTGATCAAATCCCAAAAAGCCCGAAGGGCTTTATGGCAGATTTGATCATGTGCCAACCATACGCACATCTATGACCTCTCGACCCCGTACCTGTATTTATACAGTTATATTTACATCCGCTGACTATTTTCTCCTTTATTTCTTAAGAAAACCCATTGCGGTTATCACTGCATGAACTACAGTCGGCATGTCGCCAGTACAGATTTCTTGATCAGTGGCTGTTCCATCAATGAAACGTATAAAGACGTTCGCATCATTAATACAATAATTAATCTTTTTAATCCTACTTTAAATGATTATTTAAACAGATATAAATATAAACAATAAAATGTCTTTCTTTGTTTGTTATTACTGGAATGAACGGTCGCAGCTATTGCAGAAAAAATTTACATAACCCGCGTAAAACCCGCTTACGCGGGTTATGTATTTTTTCTGCAACAGCTGCTTCCGTTCATTCCAGTAATAACAAACAAAGAAAGCATTTTATTGTTTAAATAAAAACGCTTGCTTTCAGTAGTGTTATATATAGGAAAACATTTGCAAATGTAAATATTATGTAATAAACGTCTCTCAAATGGCGAATAGATTTTCACTGGTTAAGAAAATTATGACATCATCAAATTTATATTGTTTTTGACAACGATGAGACGACTTCAGTCCCACCTCTCTGTCGTACGAAACGCTGTGATTGGATCATTAATACATTCATTTACATTCGCAGTACATGTATATTTCAGCAGTGAATGAAAGGCTGTGTAATTTTCAGACGCTAATTATGTAATGTCAAGAATACCATGCCTTACTGAAAGTCCAAGGTAAGGTGAGAATTGTACTTATATTCCCCACTTTCAGCAGGGGGCAAAAAGACCAAGATTACTTACAAAAATAATAATAAATTGATACATAATATATTTTTCTTGATAATATGTTGAACATGATGTACCTGTGCAGTTAGGCATCGTCCCATCCGGTGCCCATGTACCACTCGCTCCACACACGTACCACTGGTGATGGCTGAATCTCACATCCAAACTGTACTCGGGGCCACAGAAGACGAGGCAAAATTCACCGTAATCAGTTTTCCAGCCATTACAAACTTTGGCTCCATTTTGGGGAATATTTAGATCCTTGCAAGGATGAGCTAGGATATGATTGAAAAAGAAAAAAAATTCCACTATTTTTTAATTTATCAGATTAGCAAAACATTACTGCTGAATACATGTATTTAAAACAATAGAAAAAGTATATCTCATGTAACTTACGTCGGACTTTTATATTAAATAAACAGCTTGTTCGTAAACCGTTTGAGGGTTTCAGAGCCACATACTGAACTGTGAAATCTCCCCATGGAAATTTCCAGCTGTTTTCGGGATAATTAGTTGAAACAGTTAAAGTCTTCCCAACGGGATCATAAAAGTTGGGTGTCGTCCAGTTAAGGAAAGTTTCAGGTGTTGAAGAAAAGACCGTCATGTTGTCATGGCAACCAGTCATTACTGGAGGCTGGATATCTATGTGCAATTGCATCGTTAGTATGCCGTGTGTATAAAAATAAATTATAGGTACAAAAATCCGAGAATATGAGTAGTTTACAAAACAAACCTGTTTCACAATTTTTCCCTGTGTAGCTTTTTGTACAAACACAGTCATATCGATCCAAACCATTAACACAGGTTCCATTATTTTGGCATGGGTTACTGGCACAGGAATTCACAACTATATATGGTAATAGCGACTAATCTTTATTTTTCTATTGCTCACAATTCATAAAGGAAAATTACGTTCATTGATGAAACAAACTATGCGAACCTCGATAAAATTGATTTGCTTTTAAACTTGAATTTAAATCATTATTTGCCTAACACGAATTTTAACATACTACATGTAGTATAAAAAATTATTTTAGTTTACTTACATGCACATCGGGGTTTACGACCACTCCAAACACTATTGGTCTGACATCTTCTAGTTCTGGTTCCACCAGTCAAATTATAGTACTGATAGCAGTGATACGAAATTGTACTGTCGTAGGTATAAGTAGATCCAGTTACCTGTCCATTGCTTAGTTTACCTGGATCTCCACATGTTATTTCTAAAATACGGGGGTTGAAATACCAGGTGAAATTTTGAATTACCTTTCAACTCAATAAATTAATTTAAAATTAATTTAAATACCTACGGTTTTTACAACAACTTCCACACCATCCTTCCTGACAATTGCAGCCATAACTGGGGCGGTATGTTCCTTGGTAACAAAATGTGTTACAGTCTTCCCACTCACTGCCCATATCATAGCTTGCACAAGCAGAAAAGCTTCTGTTACATTTGTCATAGACCCATACGCTTCTGCTCCTGTATCTACTCCCCCCACCACATTTAGCACTGCAATCTGACCACCCTTCCCACGGTAACCAACGACAGCCACATTCGTGCCACGTCGGAGCAATACCAGACTCTGATGAATCCATCAAATGTATCAAAATAAACATCACAATCATCTTTGTGAGATTGGAATTTAGATAAACTCACTGTGTTTAATACCTAACGCTCCCTTAAATACAGTGCTTGTTCTTATCTAACATGGAGTGTCAGGTGATTTTAGATTTAAGGAATAAATTTAATAGCTACTCATTTTATACGGCATAAACTGGGTTAGGGCAGTTTACGCTTTATAAACAGCGAAACTTATTGCTTATAATTTAATTTTCATTCATTTGATGTAAGAAAAAAGATGATTGTTCTTACAAAATGACTTCAGTTTGTACAAAATTTGAATACATGTAACGTCACGCGGATTGATACCTTTTTGACGCAAGTCATTGTGACGTAGTCCCATTTTATACGATATAAAGTAATTTTTATATCCAATCAAAAACAGCGTTACAACCAAAATTAAATTCATTTTATTTTAATGAATTTTGATGAATCTATTGATTATAAATAGGAACTACGCAAAATGGTGCACTGGGTGGCGGTGGGTGGACGGGGTTTCCATTCAGAATGCTGAATTTAAGGTCATACGCAATGTAGTTTGAACTTTATTTGGTTCTTCCCTGGAGTTGGAGAGTTCCACTAAATGAAAGACCCGTGTGCAATACTTTTAATGTCTATACAGTGGATATGGATTTGTACAGCTCTTCTAAAACAATTTTTGATTTAAAAAAAATCTGGAATTTATGTTTTGTAATTTTTCTGTATTTTTCTTTGAATAATGCAAAATTTTTCACAATTTGATATCTTTTCAAAACCCATGGTAACGCATGCTGATTTTTATGCCCCCGTAAACGAAGTTTCGGGGGTATATAGTTTTTGTCGTGTCTGTCTGTCTGTCTCTCTGTTTGTCCGCAAAAACTTTAACCTTGCCCATAACTTTTGATTTAGTGGAGCTATGACTTTCATATTTCATATGTATATTCCTTGTGACAAGATCTTTCTTTGAGTACCACCAAATTTGACCTTTTGACCTTGACCTTGAAGTTTGATCCACTTTTACATGAAAATTTTAAACTTTTACTTTGGCCATATCTTTTGAACAGTAGATACCAGGACATTTATACTTCACATATGTTATGTTTGTTGTAAGACTTTAAATTGAATACCGACAACCTTGACCCTTTGACCGTGACCTTGTAGATTTTCGTACTTGTAAAAAAAAACTTTAACCTTGGCCATAACTTTTGAATGGTTAGGGATAGGGTCTTTCATACTTTATATATGTAATTCTTGTGAGAAGACCCTTCATTGGATACCAAGAACTTTGACCTTGACCTTTGAGATTGACTTTACTTTAAAAAAGCAAATTTTGACCATAACTTTTAAAGGGTAAAAGCTAGTGCTTTCGTACTTAAGATATCTAATCCTTATGACAAGACCTTTCATTGGATAACAAGAACTTTGACCCTTTAACCTTGACCTTGGAGTTTGACCTACTTTTCAAAAAATTTTGGTCATAACTTCTGAATAGTTAGGGCTAGGGCTTTCATGTACTACATAAGTATTCTATGTGGCAAGACTTTTCATTTGATACTAATTGCATTGACCTTTTGACCTTGACAATGGAGATTTTTATACTTATTAACAAAAACTTAAACATTGGCTTACTTTCAAATTTCTCAATTGTTTTCCAGTAAGAATACCCTACTTTGGTACCAATTATTAAATCTGCATTTCAGAAAAGCTTAATCTTGGCTATTTTGCCATACGGGGGCATCAGTGTTTCACAAACACATCCTTGTTTGTCTTAGAATATGTAATGATTATGTAAGTTCAAATTTAGAATATCTTGAAAAATTATCAGTAGGTGAGGTACGTTGCGTATGTCCTTAAGAGTGAGTTTCACGTTGGCAGTGGCATAATTGTGCTTTTAGAATATCAGTATTCCAATATGATACTGTTCTGTAGCAATCGTATCTTCTCGAGACTTTCCAGCAAACTTGAAAAATATACCGTATACGTGAAGTCGAGAATTCTAATGAAAACTACTAGTACTCGAGAGCGCTATCAGAAAGATTATTCTTGTTCAAGCATATTCTGGAAATGCACCTGCAATCCATTCGGAAATTATCATGCAAATGAAAGTCGTAAATACTTTTTTTTAAAATTGTCGAAACATGAAAAATGACATGTATCTATCAA